TTCGAGATAATCAAAAAAATCATAGGTCATTGTTTGTTGTCCATGATGTTGTATGTTCGTTCGATTATTAATCAATGATATTTTCTTTCTTTAATTTTTTTTCTCTCTCAATCTGTTTCTTTTTTCTTTTCTTTTTTCTTTTTTTTTTCTTTCCTTTTCGTTTTAGCTTTTTTTCTTTCCTTTTCTAAATAAATCGACACATTGGAATATAGAAGTTTTAGAATCGAAAAGTGAAGTTCGACATTCGAAGGCCGAAAGTAAAATGATTTTTCAATATAAAATTTGCAACACAGATTCAATGTAAATATATGGTAAATGTTAAGTATATTCATTTAAACGATATTTACTAACGCTTGTGTTTCGTTTAAATAGTTATTGGAAAATTGACATTTTTTTTTTTTTTTTACTTTAAATAGAAAAATAAATGTTCGAATTTATATTTATATTGATAAAATAATGATACTTTTGTTTTCATTCACGTTATCTAAAAATTATCGTATTTTATATGCATAAATGCATATAAAAAGAATTATTCTTACATCTTATGAATATTTATAATGAATGAAATTTATACGGCACTTATATTTCCGATGTATAAAAGTAGAAAGGTTGTATACATTTATCAGTTTAGTTTAATACCAACAGTTAATAAGAAATGATGTTACTTTAAGAATTGAATCGGTTAAAATAATAAATCTTGTAGTATAATAATACTCAAATGGGATTACGAATATAAAGAATTTTATTCTCTTTAGTGATCGTGTTAAATTATGTATAATATGAACTTAAGTAATATCTATGAAAATATCGTAAAAGACGCAGGTAAGTCGATCTATTAAAAAAATATACTTTCTAGTATTTTTGTGAATACAGCTCGTAAAAGAAAAGAAAGAAAATAAGAAAAGGAAAGAGAAAATGGGAAAAAGAAATGGACAATTTAATTTTTAGACCCGCGAGTGAAACTATGGCCATTAGTTGATTCTCCATCCACAATAACAACGATCATTGGAATTTATCTGATATCAATATTTATTGGACCCAAATATATGAACAATAAACCTGCTTATTCATTGCAAAGATTTATTCAGTTTTATAATATTTTTCAAATTTTAGCTAACAGTATTATAATATACATGTTCTTAGATGCAGGATGGTATGAAAATATATTTATTTATTGTGTACCCATAACATATTCTACGGATCCCAATTCTATGAAGGTATTACGATGTAATTTTATATATAATTTTATTCTACGAGATCCTTTTGGAATTACTCCAAAGCGATATATTAAATATCATTTGAAATTTGGAATATAGTTTATGTAATATAAATAAACGAATGAATGAATTTTTAGATAGCGTTAGCGATGTGGTATACGATGATATTAAAGATGATAGATCTGATCGAAACAGGGATATTCGTGCTACGAAAAAAAAATAATCAGATATCGTTTTTACACTTGTATCATCATGTTACAACAGCGCTTCTATCTTGGCTATGTATAAAATTTTATGCTGCAGGAATGACTACTTTCATTCCAATGTTAAATTGTACCGTACACGTCATTATGTATGGATATTATTTTTTATCATCATTGGGTAAAGAAATACAAAAGTTGATTTTACCCTATAAGCCAATTATGACTATTATTCAAATGGTTAGTTTCAAAGATTAATGATTTTTTATATAAAAAACGATCCCTTTTTGTTTTCCTTTTGTATTTATTTTTTTCCTTTCTCCCCCAACCCCTTCCATCTCATCCTATAACACTCATCCTTTTCGTCCTATCGCATAAATGCATACCTCGCTAATTTAATTCTTCTCTTAGGTACAATTCGTCATACTGTTAATGCATCTTCTACAAACATTTCTATCGGATTGTAAAGTCCCGAAATTATCAAGTTTTATTATGATTATTAACTTAATCATAAACTTTTTATTGTTCCTTAACTTCTATATGAAAAGTTACAAAAATTCAAAAACGAAAAATAAATAAATAAAAGGAGGTATTAAAAAAAAAAAACAATTCATATTTGCAAAAGGAAAGGTCGAATATCGTAACTAATGTCGAATATTAGAAGTAATCGTGTATTTAAATGGAATAACTGTACCATTAAATAAATAAAAATGTTTGTGCGATATGACATTGAGGAGTAAAAAAATGAATTGAATTTGGACAAAAAGTATTTGAAAAATAATTAATCTCAAGACAATTAATTAATATTAAATGACAGAAAGATGTAGGTCTTTAAGTCCTTATGTAAAATCTTTTTAATATGTCTGCAATATTTAAATACAATTGTATAAAAAAATAAATTGATTGTATTGATAAATTATTTGGTTATCTGTATCCAATTTATGCTCTGCCTCTCTCTCTCTCTCTCTCTCTCTCTCTCTCTCTCTCTTTTTCACACACACATACACTTCACTCACTTTTTTATAATTATATTAAAATTTATAAATAAGAATAAATACTAGTAAAATATATTATACATATATATATATACATAATAAATAATTAGTAAGTAATCAATACTATATATATAGTATATAATAGTATATTTATATATATAATGGATTACTTAATAATTATATATATATATATATATATATATATATATATATATATACTATATATATATAATAGTATATATATATATACTATTATATATATATATATATATATATATATATATACTATCCATAAAACTTTGGATTCATTAAAAAGCTCAATTCCATAATTTATTATTATTCTAATTTTTGCAAGCATTACAACAGTGACGTCTATCAGAATATATACCGAGTCTTACGGTGGGGCAATCAGTGTAAAAGTGACAACTGGTGAAAGAATGTCTTATTCCATCATAAAAAATTATAGTACGATTAATTTTTCAATAGCTTTTAATTTCTTCGATAGACAATACATCATTCATAATAACTATTTTTAATTGTTAATCATAGTGACAGTTAAGTAGTTCTTTTTTAACGGCTGTATCTTACGAAGAGTTTAAAATGCATCTATTAAAGAATATTATTAATTATATAATATCTGTAGGTGGTAAGTATTTTCATTATGTTTACGTAAGTAGAAAGTGAAATCTTACGAAATATTTGATGGTATTAGACATCCTTGAATAATTCTATGATGAATGAAATATTCTATTTGACCAGTGATGTTCAAATTAAGGATTATTTTATCGTTAAATCATAACATGCGAAATTTCAAATGGAATAGATTAAACATTAGAAAAGAAAGGACCATTGACAAAAGCAATTTAACTTTCAGATCCACGAATAAAAGATTCGATATTATTTAATACATGGCTACTTATTTTTATAATCTTTTCATATTTCTATTTTATTTTCGTCTGTGGTCCTCGATTTATGAAGAATAGAAAGCCATATTCTTTGAAAACGTTTATTAGATATTATAATGTTTTTCAAATAATGATAAATAGTTTTATTGTTTATATATTAATAAGTGCCGGTTGGTTTACCACGATTCCGTTACATTGCATACCTATGAAGTACGGTACAGATCCTGATAGTATGAAGGTATCATTTGAGATTTATTTTAACCATACAATTAAATTAATATATAGAAAAAGAAAAGAAAAAAAAAATTAAGTACGTCGTAATAATAAAATGGATAACAAATGTTTTTTTCTGCGTAGCTATTAAATGCCTGCTGGTGTGCGTACATAACAAAATTGATTGATCTAATAGAAACAGGAATATTTGTACTCCGAAAGAAAGATCAGCAGATTTCATTTCTGCATTTGTATCACCATGTCTCAACAGTATTGATCAGTTGGTTGTTTGGAAGGCATTACTCCGATGGAATGGGCACATTTCTTCCTTTAGTGAATTGTAGTGTACACGTGATAATGTACACATATTATTTCTTTAGTACATTTGGTCCAAATATCCGAAAGATTCTTAATCGATATAAATACTTCCTTACTATCATTCAAATGGTAAGTAATACTTAAATTTAAACATTCTCGTTAAAATCAAACTTGTCTGATACCAGAGTGTTTTGATAATTTTATTGTTTTTTTCTTTTTTTTTTTTTTTTTTTAATCTAAACAGGTACAATTCATAATATTAATTTGTTACATCATTCAAATATTATTACCGAGTTGCGAGATAGACAATATTCCTGGTGTGATAATGATTATCAATCTTTCTATTAATTTCTTCTTGTTTTATAATTTCTATAGGAAAACTTATTTAACTAAAAAAACGAAATAGAGTTATTATAAATATTAATTGTTTAAATATATAATGTTTTTTCTTTCTTTTTAATTTTAAATTATCTGTATGTATCTTATAGAAATAAGTTTTGCGTTTTGTTAATAAATATTACGCAAATTAATGGGTACAATTTTCTGTCAGGCCGTAAATCCTTTAACGTGTATTGAATTTAAGAAACGTGAATTGAACATTGAACAAAGGGGTTAGAAAACATTGATCCATAGAATAAACTATAGAAGGATTTAATCGATAAATAATTTGAAAATCGAACAAACCAGAGAACAAAGTATTAAAAATAAAAATTTCAAATTTTTTATCTTCTCGACAAGCTATTTATTAATTCAAAAAATGAGTTCGATGATAATCCAATAGTGAACAGTAAACGTGTTGCGAGAGAATACAGTTCGCTTCCATCGAATTTCTGATTTACTGATTTCCTGATACAGACATATTAAATTAATTACCATTTTCACAAAACGCGAAACAAAGATATTTACTAATTATCGGTATCACAGAGGATCTAACCGTACATATCAAATAAATTACGCTTACCGTTCAGTCAATTTTTAATAACAGCCGTATGCACCGTTTAGTGTAAACGAGGATGAAGAAGAAAAATATCCATTCCATGGTAATAAAATGGATGTAAAGTCATAATTTTCAATCGAATGATTCCATTTGATTGAACGAGAAACGATACCGTAACTCTATTTCAATGGTTAACTTTATTTCGAAGTGAGCAGCGAACAGCTACTTTTTATGATTATTATATGTAAATCGAACGAATTAATTGATTATGGATATTTTAATACGTATTGTTGTTTGTTTGAAGGCGAATGATCGAATTGCGTGATCTGAATAATTTTTTGAGTGATTAGAAAGGAGAGAGAGAGAGAGAGAGAGAGAGAGAGAGAGAGAGGGAGAGAGAGAGAGAGAGAGAGAAAATTAAAAAGAAAGAAAAAGATGAAATGAATAATATGAAAAGATACTTGTCAGTTTCTTTTATTTATTATATTGGATAGTATTTTTAAAATTCAATGCCACTACTTTGAATTTGAATGATGTTAGTGTATTATTAAACGTAGTCTACGAATGGAAAATAACGAATGATTTCGTAGTTACTTATGCATTATTCCTCTCTCTCTCTCTCTCTCTTTCTCTCTCTCTCTCTCTCTCTCTATCTATCTATCTATCTATCTATCTATATAGTTTTTTTTCTCTCCTTCTTTTAATGATCATGATAAAATAACTAATTAAAGTCTATATTAGGTTTTTATAATTGGCGTTGAGAGAGAGAGAGAGAGAGAGAGAGAAAATATTATAAACAATCATGAATAAAAATAGTTATATATATAAAAGGTGGACTTAAGATATAATTTTGTGTCGACTATAATATCTTGTTTTTATGATTTGTATGTTAAATATATTAATAACATATGTCCTTGAATACTAAAGAGCTGTATCTTTATGGTGGGGTAAACTATGAATTAGTGGGGAGTTCTATTATCGTTAATGATCATATTTTATTCACTTCTTTAGTTCTTTTTAAACTGTGAGAGAGGAAATACTTGCTGTAATACTATTCTTCACTAAATGATATTATTATTAAAGCAGTGACTATCATTCTTTTTTTCATTCTTTATTGTTGTTTTTTTTTTTGTTGAGAATCATATTTTTTTGTTTCTTGAAATTTAAAATGGATTTATTAAATACATTATTTTATTTTATAGAATTCGTTGGTAAGTAACATTATTATTATATTTACGTAAGGAAAAGTTGAATCTTTCGAAAATCAACGTAATTATCATTTTTGAATAATTTAATCGATTGATTATGTCTAATAAAAGCATTTTTTTTTTCTTTTCTCATTTAAACATAGTAAAATTTCGAGATATTATAAGAACAAAGAAACATTTTATAAAAGTAATTAAATTTTCAGATCCACGATTAAAAAACTGGATATTATTTAATTCGCCGTATCCAGTTATTTTTATTCTATTTTTATATCTTTATTTTGTTCTCGTCTATGGCCCGCAATTCATGAAGAACAGAAAGCCATATACATTGCGAACGTTCATAAAATGTTATAATATATTTCAAATAATGGCAAACAGTTTGATCATATATAAATTATTAAAAAGTGGTTTCATATTAAACATATTATCGAGTAATTGCGAACCTATTTCTTACAAGGCAGACTCTATTGATACAGAGGTAAAACTTCAAATTTATGACAATAATTTATCTGATTCTAAAAAAAAAAAAAAAAAAAAAAAAAAAAAAGAAAAACAATTGAATATGCCATAGTAATAGAATAAATTTATAAATAATAATTTGTGTCTTTAGTTATTAGAAGGCTGCTGGTGGGTCCTGTTAACAAAAATAATCGATCTAATTGAAACAGGAATATTTGTATTACGAAAGAAAAATCGTCAGATTTCATTCTTGCATTTGTACCATCATACCTCAACGTTGATGATCTCTTGGTTGTTTGGAAAACACTATATCGATAAAAGAACTGTTTTTATACCTTTCATGAATTGTAGCATTCATGTAGTGATGTACAGTTATTATTTTTGTACTACGTTCGGACCAAATGTCCGAAAAATAATCAATCGATATAAATTCGTACTTACCATCATTCAAATGGTGAGTATACGATTTAAATATTTTCAAATTATAATAAAATTTCAATTTAGTGAATGATTAAACATATTCTCCATTTTTTATATTTAAACAGGTACAATTCATAATATTGATATGTTTCATCTGGGGAAAAGGCATAAAAAACTGTGAATTTGCTGTTATTCCTAGTTACGTGATGATTATCAATCTATTAATTAATTTAATTTTGTTTTATAATTTCTATGAGAAAAATTATTCTATTAATAATACGAAGAAATATTAATATTAATATAAAGTGTTAATATTTATCATTTATTATTTCTATATAAAATGATATGAATGTTAATTTTAATATAGTTAGAAAATATTATTTTCTACTATCAAATCTATATATAGCGAAGGAAGATATAAGGTATTGATAGAGAAAACTAGGCAGAAAGAGAGAAAGAGAGAGAGAGAGAGAGAGAGAGAGAGAGAGAGAGAGAGAGAGAGAGAGAGAGTGAGAGAGAGAGAGATCTAATAAGTTAATATATAATAAACGAAACGAATGCAAAAGGCAAAATATTAAAAATGAAGATTATAAGTTAGTTATTTTTTTCCATAAACAGTTAATTGAGCCATAAACGAATATTCTTCTCCCGAATCTATTATATATATATATATTATTTAAATAACAATATATAGATCGTTTAAATTGGATTATTGATATAATGATTTTCGAATGCGGACTTATTAATTAATTAGATTTTTCATAAAATATGAAACATTAGATTGTTAAGTAATAGCAAATTTATCAGAACGGAAAATACTGATCTAATAAAAGTATTAATAGATTATACATCTCAAATCCATTTAATTTAATTTTTTTTAATGAGAACCAACGAAATATCGATAACTTAAAATAATATCCCTAGTCGATAAAGAAAGTTCATTGATCTTTCATTTTTTTTCTTTTTTTTTTTTTTTGCTTTTTTTTGTCAGGTTATTGCTTCAACCGAAACTCGACGTATTCATTAACATACAAGTTTTCTCCATTAAATACAAATTCCTTTAATAGAAAATGAAAAAATTTACATCGCTTATTTTCGAGCTTTCGTAATAAAACGCTTCGAAAATTATGGATTATCTATTTTCCAAAAATATTCGTGGAAGCAAACGAAGATAAATGATTTGCGTCTTATGGACGAAAGGAATGCAAGTTGCAATTCTCGATACCATGTACGTAGAATTAATTATTAGAATAATTATATAGATGTTTTACATGTATTTTTTTCAATATTCTATTTTTTTATTTAACAAAAAATTATGTCATAAAATAAACATTAATTAATACCATTTTATATTCATGTTTCTTATAACAAGAAAGGCCATTTAAATAAAAAGACATCAATTTATGTTATAAAAAAGACATTAATCTTATAAATAACCAATTTCCTTTTTTCCTTGATCTCTACGTCAATAAAGACCAAGGATCCATTATGATAAATCTCGATTGCGTGTATAAACTAATTAATTATTTATGAATAAACTAATACAATAAAATGTGTCAAATTCGACTATATAAATATGCTAAATAATATAAAACTCTATTGACAAAACTATGAACATTCTTTTTTGTACTGTCTAATTTGTAAGATGGATGGATGACTTTTTTTTTCTTTTTATTTTTTTAAAAGCTTCAATGAATTATCGAATATATATTTATCAAAGGAGATATATTTTGTTACGCTCAGAATGAAATTAAAAAATAATCCTAGATATTTCTTTTTATTGTAAATACAGAAAAAGAAAGGAAACGAAAATAATGTTTTCTATGCAAAAATCAATCTCAATTAAATTGAACCCATGATGAGATAACTCAAGATGATTGAAAATGTAATGATACGAGTAGGACAACGAAAAAAAAAAAAGAACATAAAGAAGAAAAGAAAAGAAAAGAAAAGAAAAGGATGTTGAATATAACAGGAAAAAAAAAATGGTTTTTTTTGCTCGTATATAAACCTTCTCTAGAGAGATCACATAAATCTAAAAATATTGAATGTTTTTCGTGAAATCACTTATCACGTCTAAGACATCAAATTGAATTATCTTGTTTCGACGTACAAACGTACTGTTTCCTTACACCCGATGTGTAAGGCAATGTGTCCTTTATGTACTCGTTTACTTTTAGTGATTATTCCCAGGGACAAATATTCCCAATAGGATAAAATACTGTAATACTTTAGAAGCCTGCGAATATGAACAGAAATATCTGGAAAGAAGTCAATGTTAAATTTCTTTAAAATGTCTGTAAAATATATGATTTTATGATATTGGGTAATATCATTTTCACACGTTCGAAGTTGTTATATCCGCTTTTATAAAGAAACAAAATATCAACAATAAGAACTATTTAAGTATCTTCTTTAATCTCTTAGCGCTATATATTCTCTCTTATATTCTCCAATTTTTGCTCTTTGTCTCACTATATGTCTCCCTTTCTCTCTCTCTCTCCCTCCCTCTTGTATTTCATGTTTCTTAGAATTATTATTTAAAAATTTGTAATTGAAACATTAATTATGCAATAACTGCATCGTCACCGTCGATCGATAAAAATTTAATATACATGAATATACATGAATGACTTCCATGACTTTAAATTTAATTTTCATTACTTCTATTATTGTTAATAGCTATAATAGAGTCAAAAATGTAAAATATCATTTGTCGCTTTTGTGGTGGGGCTTACAAAATTAATATTAAATAGTTATTTCCTTTAGCTTCAAAAGTACTTCCTTGTTCACTTTAGTCATCTATAATCTCTTAGATAGGCAGTATATTTCTCATTATTGCTTCTTTTACGTACCTAGTGAAAATAAATATAACGATTTATTATTTTTCTTTCTAATTCTAAAATGGACATATTAAAAAATGTATATCAATATATCGTAGGATACGAGGGTAAATATTATTATTAGATTTATATAAAAATTTAAAGAAAATGTGAATCGTTCAAAATTCGATGTATCTATTATCTTCGAATAATTCTATTTGATTATGTCAAAGAAACGATCTTTTATCTATAAAACATAGAAAATGAAATTCTAATTGAAAATAATTAGACATAAAAAAAGGAATAATCATTTTTTTTTAAATTTAATTTACAGACCCACGAATAAAAAATTGGATAATCTTTTCACCTTATACAGTCGTAGTTATTTTATTCTGTTATTTTTACTTCGTTTTTGTGTGTGGACCGCGGTTTATGAAGAATAGAAATCCATATTCGTTAAAAACGTTTATTAAATGTTACGATATATTTCAAATTATGATGAACGGTTTTATTGTGTATAAATTAATAAAGGGCGGTTGGTTTACCAGCCTTTCGATATATTGCGAACCTATCACTTATAGTACAGATCCTGTCAAATTAGAGGTATTATTTGGAATCTATTCCATGCCATTGATATATTTTAATGCATAGAAAAACTTAAGTATTCTTTAATAATATATTGACGAATAACAAATGTTCTTGTAGTTGTTAAATGCCTGCTGGTGGACAGTATTACTAAAACTTATTGACCTAATAGAAACAGGAATATATGTGCTCCGAAAGAAAAAACGGCAGATTTCATTTCTGCATTTGTATCACCATGTCTCAACAATGTTCATCACTTGGGTGTTTGCAAAGTATTACTCCGATGGAATGGGCACATTTTTTCCATTAGTGAATTGTAGTGTACACGTGATAATGTACACATATTATTTCTTTAGTACATTTGGTCCAAATATCCAAAAAATTCTTTATCGATATAAATACTTGCTTACCATCATTCAAATGGTGAGTATTATATACTAAAATTTTCATTACAATGAAACTTTATTAAAATTTCAATCGTTTTGATAATACTGTTGATTTTTTTTATTTTTCTAAACAGATACAATTCGTAATATTGATTTGTCACGCCATGCAAATGCTTTCACCGAATTGTAATTATTCTAAAATTCCTGGTGCTTTCATAATTTGTAATTATTGTATTAATTTCATATTATTTTATAATTTCTACAAGAAAAACTATTTAACTGGAAAAGGGAAACAGAATTAAGGTAAATATGCAATATCTATCTATCTGAAATATTATATCTATCTAATATGAATATTTTTTGATAGAATATGCAATAAATAATATTATTTATATATATATATAATAAAAATATGTTATAGTTATATCTTTTGGTATAATTTAAAGAGGTCATTTTTTATTTGTCTGTGATTGATTTTATACAATCTGAATATGACAAATAATATGTCTCGAAGGGATAAATTAAAGAAAAATGTAATAGATAAATAGGCACGAAATCGAACGAATCGAAAGATGTAATATAAAAAATAATAATTTTAAACATTTGTATTATTTCAGAAATAAAATTTCTCTCTCTCTCTCTCTTTCTCTGTCTTTTTTTCGTTTATATCATAAAGGAGAAAAAATAGAGACAACATATTGGACAAATTTTCTCATCAGTAATACAATCTTTTTTACATTAATTTTTTGCTTCGTGCCACAATATTTTTGAATATCGATTTTACATCTAAGTGGGAAAATAATTTAATCCTTCGTTCGTATGTAAAATTTGTTTTTTTTTTTCTTTTTTTTTTTTCTTTATATCATTATGAATAATTATGATGCATTAAATTTAATATAATATTTTAAACATTTAAACATTTTTTATTATAGTTTATAGCGTGGGTAACCATGAAAAAATAATTTCATCATAATGATCAAATTGAAAAATAATAAATCGTTTAATTGTAATTATCGTAAACCATTGATATTCTCTTTATTCTAATTTTACATTGTTTATAAGATGATATCCATGTATTTCTATATTATAATATTTTTTAAATTCTAATAGTATTATAGATGGACAATATATGTTTAGTTGATGAATATTTCGAAAATATATTTATCTATTATGTACCTGTTACGTATTCTAAAATAGAATATTCGATTTATGTTCTCTCTCTCTCTCTCTCTCTCTCTCTCTCTCTCTCACTCACTCACTCCATCTCAATTGTTCTTTCTTATAATCATTTCCTTATAATTTATAATTAATAATCGTCTGAATTATGTAATAGGAATTTTCTTTCATAGAATATCTAATAAATAATCATTAACGGAAATATATATTTGCATGAAAGTCATGGAAAACTTTGAACGCAATAGTACGATAGACTCTTTTTCCTTTTAATTGTCTTTCTTATTGTGGATGTACGCCTTAAGAAATTAACAACGTTATTCTTGAATGTAGAAATGTTAATTATATCTCATATGATAGAACTAATAAGAATGGTATTAGTGGAAGTTTTTTTTATTGCTAAACGTCTTATGTGATGCGTTTACGAATTTTTCTAATAAGTAGTACATCGCTTATTACAATTTTTTTGACTATTTCTTTTTTCTTTTTTCTTTTTTCTTCTTAAGACTGCATTTTTTACAAATTCGCCGATAAGTAATATAATTATTTATATTTTTTAAAGAAAAAGTGAATCTTTGAAAAATTCAATGTATTCATCATCCTCCTTATGTTATTCTGTCGATCAGTGATATCAAGGAGGTATTATTTTATTATTAAAATATAACAAATGATATTCTTAATATGAGATGATTAAAAAGAAAGAAAGAAATTAATATAAAAAGCAGTTGAATTTGCTGAGTTATGGTTAAAAGTTTTCATAATATTTAGTTAGCTGTGTACAATAATTTTTATTCTTTATTCATATTTTTATTTCGTTCTTGTGTTTGGTTCACGATTTATTAAAAACATAAAAGCCCTATTAGTTCATAATTACTTTCATAACATATTACAACGTTATTCAAATTGTCGCTACGAGTTTTATCATTTTACATAAATTTATTATTTAGTGATGTGATGCTTATCGCATTTATTATCGGTAAATTACGTATTTTCATTCGTAAAACAAAAAAAAATCCGTTTAGTGTAAAGTTATAACGTGGCATTTATTTCAAATATACTTCTAATTTAATTAAAACATATAATTGCAATAGAATGAATGATAAAAAATATTTTTCTGATTTAATCTTGTTTAATCTGGTTCTCCGATAGAAATATCGATTGATTTCATTTTTGCATCTGTATCATACATTATACGTACGTCATTGAATTATATATATTTGAATCTTCGTAAATTCATTAAATTTCAAGCCTATGAAAGAATTACTTTTAATTTTTTACCTGTAATCAATTTTATTATTCACGTAATATTTTACATTTACCATTTTTCTTTTAGTTCGATTTGATCGATATGTTGAAAAAATCATCGATCAATATGAATTTATATTTATCATCATTGAAATTATGAATATTAGATTTAGATAATTTATCATTAATATGAAATTTAAATGGGACATCTAATACGTTAAATATATCGTCGATTATTTTAAATCAAATAAATATATTTTATAATATTAATGTCTCTCATCCTTGTGATCTCGTGGTCCTGTAATATTCATTAATCTTTTAATCAATTTGATCTTGTTTTATAATTTTTATAAGATAAATTATTCATTACAAAGAAAAACAGAGAAAAAAAAAAGAAGGAGACAGAATTAATCTAAATGTAAAATATCTAAATTGTTAATACGTTCTAATGTTTATTATTTACATATACGTGTCTAATACAAATAAGTTTTACTTGGTTTTAAAAATTGGAAAAAATATCAAGTTGATTTATTTATAACGTGAATATTAAAAATGAAGATTTCAATTTGATTAATTTTTCCACAGAAATAATGTGTTGATTCAAAAATGGATTTTTCGTTTGAATGATAGACGCAAAATATTAAAGAAAAAAAAAAAAAAAAAAAAAAGAAAATTAATAGAAGAATACGAAATATTCGAATCAAATTTCAAATTTATTGATTACCCGTATACATACATTAATTCATTATCGTTCTCATTTCATTTGTGAATACAAAATAGTGATAACATTTGATTGACAATATTTAATTGATCTAAAAATTTAATAAATAATATATTGTATTACGAATTGATGGAGATTCGAAGAATTTAACAGAATGAATTTTCATAAAAATAGATCTTGTTCTCTTAAAGACTCGCCTGTTGAGCTAATTAGCGGATCCTAAACGCCATGAATTGCATTTTAAAACATATATATATATATATATATATATATATATATATATGTATATATATATTCTTATCGCTTCGTGTTTGCAGGAAATATTGAAGTTTTTAAAGTTTCGACGTCTAGCAACATAGTGACGAAGTAGATTGTCACAGACTGAAATTTTCTCATTAGTTTAAGTCAAATATATGTATATAAATATCAGTAGTAACGATAGTACCTTCCATTCATTTCGCTTTTAGATTTTATGAGACGCAACAATACGTAACATATTTTTCAATGAAAAATTTCGTAATATTTCGAGAAAACCGTATGCGGCAATAATTAATCCAGACGTTATTCTTGATCAGATCTCATTCCAAAGATGAAACGAATAATCGGACTTCAAGAATTTTTGAAATAGTTTTATATTCCGTGAAAAATATTTTATCAAAAGAAAAAGAAAAAAGAAAAAAAAAAGGATTACTTTTTTATATTTTATCGTAACGTTTTATTATAAATGAACGGATAACTTGATTTAATCCAATCAAATGTTTACGAGTTCGTAAACATTTCGTAAACATTTCGTAGAATTTAAAGTGGCAAATAATATAGGGATATTCGATTAACAAGAGAAGAAAAGACTATTTAAGGTGAGTTTACCTGTTGAATGTAACGTACGGTGCAACGATGACAAAATTACGTTAATGCACCCCAGAAATAAACGATATCTGAACAGGTTTATATGCTCGTTAAACGGATCCTCCTTCGTCTCTCGAGAATATCTTTGGTGGGTTTTCTTTGCATCGTCTCTGAAAACACGAGCATGGATGTTGTATAAATGGCATGAAAAGAGAAAGAGAGAGAGAGAGAGAAAGAGAGAGAGAGAGAGAGAGAAGGGATAGTAATATCACAAGACACGACACGATTCCATACGTTCATTATATTCGTTAGTATGTTTAGTCTTCAACGCTACTGCTTTTGTTCGGTGTTACGTGTTCGTAGTCTGAAAACAGTTCCTTCTCTCTCTCTCTCTCTCTCTCTCTCTCTCTCTCTCTCTCTTTCTCTCTTTCGTACGTTGCTACTTTATACATTGCAACCGTAAGTGGAAGATAACGAATGGCCGGTTTCGTAGTTACGTATGTATTGTCCCTCTATTATCTCTCTCTCTCTCTCTCTCTCTCTCTCTCTCTCTCTTGTTCGCTCACTTTATCTCTGAACAAAATAGAGGCAACATGTCGGACTGGTACTTTCGAATTTTCTCGTCGAGTATATATTCTCTTTTGGTCTTATTTTAGCTTTACGCATATTTACGTTCGATCGTGCGGAGCACACGGCAAAAGAATATCGGCTAGGTGAAATAGGCAAGTGAAAAAGAATTTGAAGTATAGTTAAAATCCATGACGCTTTGGAGTTTTACGCGACGAGAAAGTTTTTTATTCGAATTCGTAGCAGAGGATTATTGATTCCCGTTGAAATCACACAAACGAACGTGGAAACTAGTTACCAGGGATTTACGTTAAATACCCTACTGCTTTAGAAGGGTTCATATTTTTTTGTCTTCTCTGTTCTGTTTTGTTGCTTTTTGTTTTGTTTCTTTTTTCTTTTTCTTTTTTTTTTTTTTCTTTTTTCTTTGCTTTTACGCGTAATATCGATCGAGAAAAATAGAAAAATAATTGACACCGCGTGTCATCATAATCGATCTGTCCCTTTTCGCGATTTATCCTCGTGCATGATCTATAACACGTTTTCGATCCTGGCCAATGGGTTTTCAAGTTTTATCAACTGGCGGTAATCAGGATTATGGGATAAAACAAATCCTTCAAGTTGCCAAAAGGATGTATCGAGAACCTTTAGTTGACGTTACTTCGTGCGAGAAGAGACCATCGAGGCTTAAACTCTGGCTTTTCGGGAAGCCTCTGTCTGCAGTAAATTTCGCATGAGAGATCACGACGAGTAATTCGCGTACTTACT